GCTCCTATTCATTCGGCCACCAATATTTTAGTGACACGTAGCATGAAGAAAAGCGCTGACCTGACCCACTATTTTTTGGGTTCTAGCGCGTATGTTTTTTTAAATCCTTGACGAGCCGAACAACATCCCATCACCTTTTCGATATATTTCAAATATCTAGCAAATACCAAGTTGTACCTAGTTTTTTCTAGCAATACCGAGTAAATACCTAGCAATACCGAGCAAATCCCTAGCAATACCAAGCATATCCTGAGCAAATACTGAGTTGTACCGAGTTGTACCGAGTTTTTTCTAGCAATACTGAGCAAATACCTAGCAATACCAAACAAATCCTTAGCAACACCGAGCAAATCCTGAGCAAATTCTGAGTTGTATCGAGTTGTACCGAGTTTTTTCTAACAATACCAAGCAAATACCTAGCAATACCGAGCAAGTCCGTAGCAATACCGAGCAAATCCGGAGCAAATACCGAGTTGTACAGAGTTGTAGAAAAACTCGGTACAACTCGGTATTGACCGCTTTAAACGTGGAAGATCGAAAACCTCGATTCTGCATTTCAATGGATTCAAGTATGCTCACGACAATTTTCTCGATGATTTTACATGTAATTTGAAGGAAAAAAAAATATTTTTTCATCTCCATTGAATCCTACATGACCAAGTTCTCTTGCCGAAAATTCAATGGGAGAGCCATGATATTTTTTATATGGGGCATAAATTTTTGAATTTAAAATACCTCGACCTTTTTTTATCTAAGCTTGAGACCAATCTTAATGGTTTTAAAGAATATTTTGGAGTTATTATTATTATAAGAAAATAAATAATAAAATAAAGGAAACCTATAATTGAAAACACTTGATGTGCATAGTCTCCTTACATGTCACTTATAAAATTTATCTTCAAGTTTTTGTATTTTAAAATCGTTGTACAATAATTTCATTATCAATACCATTAAATATATATTTATATATGTAACATCAAGATTCCCAAATAAGGGATGCTTGTTTGCAATGATAAGAGTTTTCATAAGACTGAGAACGTAAGGCGAACCAAGTTCCTTTGTTGGGAAAATAAGATGCAACAACAATAACAACAACAAATATATTTGAATTAGAGTGAGTCAAACACATTAATGAGAATAGTTTATCCAAAATTTATAACATTTTAAATAACATGTAATTAATAACAAAAAAAATCAAATAAATATTATACGCTCTATTTAAAATTTATCCATACAACAACAACATCAAGCCTTTATCCCACTACGTGCGGTCGGCTACATGAATCCTATTTCTCCAATATGACCTATTAAAAGTCAAATTCTCGTTTAAAATTTATCCATAACTCTATAAATTATCCTCATGAGAATTGAGTTATTCAATAGAGAGAATTAATGGAGCATAATTAAAACAAAAGAAAAAAAATAAAATTATTAAAAAAATCACAATAATTTAATGAGATTTGACCAAATTAACGAATGATTTTGAATATAACAGTACTTCTTATAACTATTGAACAACTATTTAGTCAAAGAATAATATTTCTAATAAGGTATAGAACGACAAATCGCAAATTAAAATAAAATAAAATGTTACATATTTTAAACTTTAAATATTACCCATGAAAATAACATATAATTAAATAAATTAAATAAAAGGCGAGCAGCAGATCCCTTCCTCACCGGAGGTAGCGATTTATGTCGTGGCAACGCTAGGGTTTCCCGCCTCTTCTCCCTTTGATCCAGTCGCAGGTAACTGAATCCTCTATTTCGTCGTTCTTGTTGTTTCGTCTCCTTTACATTGATCTTCGTGGAATTTTTTTGTTTTGAGAAGGATTTGTTTTGTGGATGAACGTTCTGATGCAACAACCTATGTCTTCAGCGGAATTGTTGTTTGAGCATTAGGTGGGGGTCGATGATTTGCTTATATTTCATTAGTTCGTTTTTTTTAGGAGGAATTAGGCCGTCTGAGTTTATCCTGATTGGAACTGTCATTGTCACATACTCTGAAGTGAGTGATCTTGGATGTTCTATTTAAATTATTGAAGAAGGTGAAATCAATGAATTTCAGGGCTATGTTAACCGTGAAAGAAAAGAATCAGATTTTGCCCTAAATTCGAGAGCTTTCCAATTCTATGGTGAAATGTAAAGAACTAGTTAAAAAAACGAAGGCTTTTGGTAGTTCGGTTCTGTAGGTTTGGTAGGGTTTTTTCTTTCTTTGTACATAATTGGTGGTTGCTATTTGATGAGCTTGAGTGATGTATGCATAGATTGAATTGGTAGATAGCAGTATTTTCTGTGCAGATTGGCCTCAAGTATTTGCACGTTTTTCTGGTTATGGTCCCGATGGAGCGTTTTGGATTTGATTTAGCAGATTGGATGTGGGTGCTTGGCTGTTTGGATTGCTTCATAATTGTTTGTTGTGTTGTGGGTGTGGCGAAATTGGTGTTGACTATGAGAAAGAATTCATTGGCTTCTTCTAAAATTTAGGAAACTAGTAAACTCCACTTTGAGCATTATTGGCAGATTAGACGTGTCCTTTAATCTTCTTGGATGCTATTGGATGAATATTGGCTTTACCCTTAGAGATAGGATAAGAAATGAGCATATACGTGAAAAGGTTGGAGTAGCTCCAGTAGAAGATAAGATTAGAGAGAGTCGCCTTAGATGGTCTGGTCACATAAAACGGCGGCCTTCCAATGACCCGGTTAGGAGAGTAGAGGTATTAGATTTGACTTATGTTAAGAAAGGTAGAGGCAGACCTAAAAAAACTTGGTTAGAAAATATTAGGAATGACCTTTCTTTATTAGATTTAAACGAGAATTTGACCTTTAATAGGACACAATGGAGAAAAAGGATTCATGTAGCCAACCCCACGTAGTGGGATAAAGGCTTGATGTTGTTGTTGTTGTCGTCTCTCAATCCCAGCACCAAAATAACCCCCCCCCCCTCCCCTTGAATTCAATTGGCTGGGTGGGACCCACCCAATGAGCGGAAAAACCAGAGAGGAGGCGGACTATTTCTACCTCTTGTACACATGCTGAGCCGACCCAATGGCCGACTGGGCTGGTAACCAGCATATCAGAATGAGGGCTAGATCAACCCTGAAAGAGGTGATCCAAAATGTATTCAACCATTTGACCAATTATCTTGTTCATTCAATAATCTTGAAGCGAAATATATATATAGTACAAAATAAAAATGAGCCACTCGATTGTCAAGTTTTATGTATAGCAATGCATAACTCAAAAATTTTCTCGAATTATTCCATTCTCCTGTGGTGAAAGATGGACCTCATATCCAATTTCCCACAGTTCTATATGGTTGGATCCAACTAAGGATTTTTATCTTTCTGGGAATAACTGAGATCACAACAACTATTTTGAATTCCAAATTTGTATTGATGTACGAACCCATGTTATAATTACCATGATTTTGAACAAGAGATTCTTTAACAATTTTATCTTCAGAGTGTAAGCCATTGCCTAAATACCTAAGACCATTTTTTTCCTTAAAGGGTTCATTCTATGTAATAATGATGATGGATCAAGTTAGATTGTGGACATACAGTTGTGGAAAAGAGATGCTAGTAAAGTGTGGGGTATCCCCCTCCAAGAAGATAAAAAGATGAATTAGTGTTTTGAGCGGTTAATAACATTGTTATTACATGGACATGTACAAGAAGTGAATAAAAATACAAAAATTGTCATGGAAAGGGTTATCTATGAATTGTCATTTTTGGTCCGCACATGTTGGAGTTTGTCTTAGAAAATGGATTGAACCCTAAACTGATGATATATTTGAGACGTACTACTTGATATTGCTAAGTCAAATGCTCTAAAATGCAAGGTTTTGAAAACCGGAGCGGACATCGAACCGGAAGAAAGAGAGGTTCACGGTTCAACCGGTTCGACCGGTCGAACCGGGGTCGAACTGGATGACGTAATAAATAATAATATTATTAAAAAATTAATAAGATTGATAAATAATGAAATATAATAATCATATAATTTTCCATAAAATATTGTTAATTTATATTACATAGTGTAAGTTATTTAAAAACTTAAAACTCTCAATATAAAATCATAAATATAATAAAATATTTTATTATAAAAATATTTTATTTTGTAAGATAAAAATTTTTAGAGTTGAAAAATTGAAATTTTACAAATTTTTTAACATAAGAGTAATTCATTTGATAAAAAATAATTATTATTAACTAAAAAATAAAATAAATATTTTACTAAAAAACTTTAAAAAATAAATATTATTCAAATCATAAAAATTAATTTATATATTATAATTTTTACTTGAGCCGCTTAACGAACAAAAATAAATTCAAATAAACTTCATAATATATATAATAAAAAATATTAAAAAATAAAAATAAATAGTTCGCCGGTTCACTGGTTGAACCGGCGGTTTTCTCCAAAACCGGCCGGTTTGAAGCAAATCCGGTTTTCGGGTTGAACCGAACCGGCCGTCAGACCGGTTCACGGTTGAACCGGTTGAACCGGCCGGTCCGGTCCTGTTTTAAAAGCACTGCTAAAATGGCTTTTAATACTACAATTGCAGATAGACCGTCCACGCAATACTAAGTTTGGCTCAATATCTTATTTGCCACAACTATATGAATGAGATATCTTATTTGATTGTGTAAATGTCATCAATGTTTAAAATTGCGTATTCGGGTATTGAGGCGTTTTTCATTCGTGAGGCGAGGCGTAAGCCTCAAAATCGAAAGATTGCGTAAACATAAAATGAAAAATTTTTATATACTAATTAGTGAATAATATAAAACATAAAAAAACATAAGATATGAAGTGAAATGAAAATATCTCAATAATAAGACAACATGAAATATAGTTCAACTCAAAATTCTCTTTCCCAAATCCCATTATTCTTTTCATTAACAATAGCAATGACATATCACATAAGAACTCATAAGTCATCAGCACTATCATCACTAAGGGGTTCTTCATTTGAATCATCATTATGGTGAACTATTCTCTCCCCTTCCTCCTCTCCTATAGAGTCCAATGTCGGGCATTTACTTCAAGATTTATGTAAGTTTAAATATATATAGTGTGAGGCGTAAACCTCATGCCAGTGAGGCAAGACGGGCCACAACCAAGTTGAGGCGCAAGCCTCATAACAAAAACTCGAGGCGTAAGTATTGAGGCGTTTTTTACTGGAATTGCGCAAAAGCGGGCGTCAAGGCGAGCCTCATATTGCGCAATTTTAAACAATGAATGTCATGCAAGGTGCATTTATTAGAATCAGAAAACTGAGCAATTACTATATCCACTTATTATTGCCTGCGTCACCATAAGAAAACATTAAACTTTGAACTGCTATTAAAACATCATAAAGTTATTGTTTCCCACCAAGAATTTGATAATTCATTTAAGCTAGTTCCAAATGAATTAGAATGGAGAAGCATGTGCTTATCACTTTTTTAGCAATGGCACATAAGATGAAACACAAGATGTACTCCACTATCCTTATTGTTGTTGTTGAAAATATGAAAGAGGAATGCTACATACTTTTTTAATTCCAATGGGTAAAAGAGATATGATAGTTATTGGATATGAAGGTAATTAACCTAATTAATTACAATCAATTCAGCATTTAAAAATTTATTCTATATAAGAAAATACTGGTTGGTGAATTTTTCAGCGTTTAAAAAATTATTCTATATAAGAAAATACTGGTTGTTGAATTGAATATGAAAGGTGGAATGGTGGTGAATTGCCAAGGTAGCTAATTACATAATTGGTGGCATTTACTTTTAACAACGGAGGTGCATGAGCTACAGATTGCTACGATGGCGCAAGAGGTGCAAAAGTTGTTGATTTACCAAGGTGGCGCAATGAATTGAATGCAAAATTTGCTGTGCAATTTTCATGATTTCCATAGTTAGCGTACAATTATGATGCACCGATGCAGACATGGGGAAACACAATACAACATGGATATGGGGCATACATGTTATTGAAAATATAGGACATGAACATTCATAGGAAACAATGATATAATATTATATCTTAAAAATAAAAATATATAATAATTACAATTATTAAATAAATATTAAATGAATTTTTATAAAAATAATTTTTTTAGGTAGAGGCAGACCTAAAAAGACTTGGTTAGAAAATATTAGAAATGATCTTTCTTTATTAGATTTAAATGAGAATTTGATTTTTAACGGGACATAATGGAGAAAAAGGATTCATGTAGCCGACCCCACGTAGGGGGACAAAGGCTTGATGTTGTACTCATAAAATCAGAAATAGATTTAAATTTGTAAAATATCTTAAACTCATCTGAAGATGAAATTGTCATATGATGTGATAAATTGTTAGATTAAAGTTAAAAATATTGATAAGAAATAAAATTAAATAATTATTTTTTAAAAAATCACAAAAAATAGAAGGAAAATAAATTAGTGTTTAGTAACTATTTAGTTATTTATGTAATATGCTTAAAAAAAATAGAGGGCTTAAGTTATTTTTGTAATTTATTTTTAAAATTAAAATTATTATTTAGGTCACATGTATCGAAGATGCATTTCAAATAACTTTTCTTATTTTTTTTAAATTGGACACATAAATGGTGTGTCTAACATGTTTTGGGCTTGTCTCGGGCAAGTGAACGTGTCCATATTTTTGACATGGTATGCTTCATCATCATTATGAAATGTCAGTGCAGCAGGCGTAGAATAATCAGTAGACTAGATTTGTCATTTAAAGTTGGAATGGTCTACTTCACACCTTATCTGAGGAGCCTGTAGCTTGGGTAATTTCAAGAATGGCTCTTCTTGTTTTCCTGTTGCTTTTTCTTGTAATCACACTTAATCTGATACCAGGTGAGTGGCCAATTCTAGTTGTGTATTCGATACTTGGTGGTTTTTCTGTTTTTCAAGACACATTTGTATTAAGAATACTCCTTCCCATATAGGATTTCATGATATTTCTTTGTTGGTTTAGTCCGTTGAATTTGAATATCACCCTATAGGTTTTGTCCATTGCTACGATTTTATTCATATTATAATAATGTTTTAATTAGGTTTCTTTTACTTGTGAAGCCAATTCTTGGTGGTTTGTCAAGACACATTTGTATTAAGAATACTCCCTCCCAAATATGATTTTATGATTTTTTTTTTTTTATGTTTTAGTCCATTGAATATGGAATATTACCTATAGGTTTTGCTGCATGTCCATTGCTACGATTGTATTCATATTCATATTAAAATAATGTTTTAATTACTTTACTTCTATTTTGCAGAGTCACTTTTTTTCTAATATTTCGATGTTCCTTGGGTCAGCTGATGTGCATGGTTTTGTTTTTCCATTCTGAAGATCATATCTGGTGTTAGCATTTGGAGATATGGCAGAGTCCCTTGTATCAAGCTTTTGGGGGCCTGTCACTTCCACAATAGAGTTGTGTGAAGAAAATTATGCTCATTCCTCTTATATTGCAGAGTTTTATAATACTGTTTCGAATATTCCATGCATTCTTTTGGCACTCATTGGACTGATAAATGCCTTGAGACAGCGATTTGAGAAAAGATTTAGTATTCTTCATATCTCTAACATGATACTTGCCATTGGAAGTATGGTGTTCCATGCCACATTACAACATGTGTAAGTTCCCATGGTCATTCACTTAATTGTAATTTCTTCTTTGTATTTCTCCAGTCATTTTCCTAATCACCAATGTTGGTAAACACAAAAAAAGTCATTTCACTGCTGAATGAGTTTTCATTGCTAGTTTAGTAAGATTTCCATTAAGCTTAAAGTGTTGTGAAAGTTAGTTCTTGAAAAAGCTACATTAGCATCAATTCAAGTTAGTTAAATAACTAGCACAAGTGTTGTTTTTTGGCATCTAGTTCGAAATTGAAGGCTTCACCAATTGGTCTGACAGTAAAGGCTTTAGTGAAATCATCAAGTCATGTCCACCTAATGTCATATAACATACATGGCGGAAGGGACAATAGGAGAACAACATCAACTTCCCTCTCATGGAAGGGGGGATGCTATGAGAACAAATCGACTTCCCTCCCATGCAATTGCAAATTTATTTGATATTTAATTCTTCAATGTTGATGGCAGTTGAAGGATCATCTCACTGAACCAGTGCTGGTTGTTTGATGCACCCACTGCCACCGGCAATATTCTCAACTGACCCATTTATTTTTTCTACAATACACTTAGCGTGTTTAGATCAAAATTTTTTGCACATGGTTAGCCTAACCTTATTAATATGATGATGTTATATTAACTCTAGAATATGAAATGTTGTTGCTGATTTATTCTTCCTCTGCCTTGATGATATTGACTACCATCCTTCAACAAAAAATTTTTTATCTTTGGTGCCCTCTCTACTATTGAGCAAGGAATCGTTGATATGTACCCACTCACTGCTTCAACACTATGACAGACATCATGTCTTGGATTGTGTCTTCTCCATTGGGTCGGGGAATGGCTTGGCAGGGCCAAGTTTTACTTGGATTAATTTGCTTAAAATTATAAACCCTGTTAACAGAATTTTGGCCTCAAATTTCAGGCCTAAACATAATTAAGATTAGGTGTGGGCACCAAATCTTGATATGTGGCTCCTAAATCCTAATCTAATGGAGTGTTGAATTAATGTATACCTGTGATTGTATTATCACTCTTTGCTAAATAGGAATTTCATAATCTCTAATACCTTTACTTATTCCCCATTAAAAATCTACCCATCTCTGACATTAGTCTAGTTGTTCGAGCCTTTTCCCTTTGTTTCTCTAATGTCCTGATGTCTTTCTGATCAGGGTCAACAAGCTAGCTGTCCACTTCTGCAAACTTCATGCTCTTCTTTAGCAGCCTCACTATCCCACTCTTCAGCAAACATGTATAAGTCTAGTTGTTCGACCCTTTCCCTTTGCTTCTCCAATGTCCTGATCAGGGTCAACAAGCGAGCTGTCCACTTCCGTAAACTTCATACTCTTCTTTAGCAGCATCACTATCCCACTCTTCCACTAACATCATTGCATTAAGTTGTTGATGACTAGAAATTTAATAAAAGAAAAGGACCAAAATTGTTCCTTAATTTTTTCTAGAATGATCAAAATGGTCTCTGAATATATATAACTATCAATTTGATCCCTTGAATTTTCAAATGAGGATCAAATTAGTCCTTATGTAAGATCATTTAGGTCTCTATTTAAAAAAGCCAAGGAATTAAAATGAAACTTTTGAATAATCATGGATCGTTTTGGTATTTGTAAAGTGTTAGAGGATCATTTTGGTCCTCATCTCATTAAAGAAATAACAACTTTATGGTTATGATTGACATTAATAACTTGAACATTCTAATCTAAACTTAGGGTTCATTTGGAGTAGCTTTTTCTTTACTTGGTTTTCTAGACAGCTGACACATTTTTGTTTGATATAATTTTCTTACCGCATTTTAAAATGTCTGTAGTGAGAAGTAGTTATTTAAAATAAGACTTGTTAGAGTATGATAATCATAAGAAAGCTGCTATCTGATATTTTTGAAATTTTATAATATCTATAATAACCTTTAAATTATTTTTTTTCCTAACGGCTCTATAGCTACATCGCAGACAAAATGGACCCTTACTCATCATATGTACTTGTCTTTTTTTACTTGCTCCATCATGTTTCAATGTCAAAAAGATTGATAGAAGCTTCAGCTTTATAATTTTATTCATTAGCTACTCAAAATGTAAACAAATATTCTCTTTTACATGCTGGGTCTGGCCACCCGCAGGCATGCAGGAAGTTGTCAATGGGCTAGTATGGCTGTCATTTGTCCTGAGGGCCGGGACGTCGGGACAAGCCAAACAAAGAATAATTTAGGCTTGTAAAGCTTACTCCATGCCAAACCCGACCCAACAAGTGATCAGGTCTAATTTGAGGTCACAAGTTTCAAATAGGATGACCAGTCTTTTTTATTTTAGATAAAATCCCTGCTTTATACAGCTTACGTTGATGTACTTCGTTCTTAATTTTTTGTAATTCACTTCTGATTATCTAAAGCACATTGTGGTCTTGAAGTCTCAATGCTAAATTATTGATGAATCCTTCATTATTTTTTGGTAGGGTTGGCTTTTATAAATTTTTCATCTCTATTCATTCATGTAGCACTTAGTAGGTATGAATGGAGGGGGATTCATAAAGACAGCCCCTAATAGATGGGATAATGGTAAAATGATGATGATAAGTGGAACTTTTTAAAACTGATATGACCAGTATCATTTACTAAAACCTTGTCAATTTGAATAGTTCTAGATTGTTAGTCTTTGGAGCAGCTCAGGGCTAACCTGCATGGTTCATAATGGAGACATATGGGGTAATATGTATCCTTACCGTTATTAACTGCTTTATTTCAACTTATGTCTTTTTATAACAGTTTTGAATGGTATGACAATGTATTACGGATAAATTGAATTATTGGTCTATAAGTGGAATTACTTGCTATCCTGTCATGGCTCTACCCTCAATGATGAACTGTGTTCTAAATCTATGCTATCAGCTGTTCATGTTTCTGTGGAATGTAGCGTAGTCATAAATGTTTGAATTGCTTTATGCCTTGCTATTCATTGATATGTGAATCTCATTTGCATTGGCCTTTATTTGACTGTGCGAACTGGCTTTGTTTGAATCATTCAGTTAGGACAAATGTGAACCTGTCTAGACCCTTTCCGTAGGATTAAACTTCATGCCTTAAAATGAAAGATTGCCATATGATCCTGCCTGCGGCTGTACTTTCTCCTCTCACTATAAATTAGGCTTCTGTTCTTTAAGTTTCCACACATTGAGATCCTTCAGCAGTTGGAAGGCATAACCATGTCAGGTTTGGCCAAATGTAACTGTTCTAGTGTTACATAATCAATTAAAAGTTGACTTTGTGATGCAGGACGACTCAGGTTTAGGATTTCCTTATGTAGCGAATATGATGTTCAATAGGTTTTTTTGTAAAGGAAAATTAAAGATTCATAGATTATTATTTATCAATCAACCCAACAATTCACTTCTTTTATGTGTAAGCAAGTAATAATAAATTTTAAGCCCACTTGATAACGGAACAATCTTAGAAATCTAAGAATTTTATTAAGAATTTTGAAATAAATAAAATCACTATAAATCCATTTATTAATTTTTTTAAAGTTAAAAAGTATTAAATTAGCCAATAATAAATTATGGAGAAAAATGATACAATGAATGAAATTACAAAGTAAAAAAGGTCTCGCATCGATGCAAGGAGAACTTTTTTTAATAATCAAGTTGTCGCAATTGTCCTTGCCCGAAGGAATCAAACATCTAATTTGCACTAAACATGATTGAAAATTGGAAGGTAAATTTTATTGAAGCCAAAAGTTGAAAATTACATGCCTCAAAACAATTGTCTATGGACTTCTTATTGCACTAAGCTAATAGATAAGGTTGATATATAATTAATATAAACTTAAGTTTAAAATAATTCGTCAAGATATAATTTTCCAAATAATTTGAAATTCTAGATAATCTGAATTGCAAAACATATCTTAGAAGTCAAACTTTAGAAATGGGTAGCCAATGGAACCCACAGGACTTGTACACCCTTAAGAAATCATACCAATAAAGTCGTTATCTATGAAGACATGAATCTCGTTCCTCCACAATGCTTGCTAGTCATGCCTTCGCCTATAGAAACTAAAATTCTGCTCCTCCATAATAGACATAAGTCTCACTCCCACATTTTCTACTTTTTCTTAAATAAACCAAGGATAAGTCCAACCTTCTTTTTTTTTTCAATGAATAATGCCAAGAACCTCCACAACAATCTACTCATCTTAAAAAAATTCAACTCTGAAGAATTGGACTATTAATATCAACCTAACAGTAATGTAATATAACTTCGTCAATCTTGTGTGAATTGACCTAAATTAAATTAAGATTAAAATTATGCCAACTAATTAATCTAATTGAAAGCTAAGAAATACTGATGTGAAACTACTAGGAGTTATTTTAGAAATTAAAAAGAGAAGAGATTAAAGTGTTGCTCGTTACAAATTGAAAGCTAGCACATAAAATTTGAGTTAGGAATTCGAAAGTATTAACTTGCTTAGGCCCAAAGATATGCAATAGAGATTAACCAAAACAATTCATTCAAAATCCAAGGAGATTTAAATTGGAAGTACAATTAACAAAAACCCAACGTTTAACAACGAGAATTTCACCTCGTGGCCGTCTCACTCAAATATTAGTAGGCTTTTAGCGGAGAGAGAAGATCCAAGCGATGAATGATATTACCACTAGAGAGAAGGCGCCGAAGAACTTCGTCGGAGGAAAGGTAGCCGGTGGGGATGGATGTCGTAGGTGGCCGTCAAGACTCCAATTGTAATTTGAAAATCGTCGGTCGAAGATGCTTGCAAGGATCGGGACGACTCTCTCTAAATATTCTTTCACGGTGGTTTCGTCTTCAAATCCTACGTCGAAGCACGGAGATCGTAGGATGTTGATGCTTCCGTCGACGTTGAACACAAGACCCCACTCAAGTTTGGGATCGGCCATGCGTCATTGAAATGGAGATGGAAGACTTCGCCTTCGTTCCCTCTTGGACTCTTGATTCAAGAGACGAGAGAGAAGTGGCCGGCGGGATTTTCAAGGAGTGGGAGAAATTTCGGCCAAGTGGGAGAGAGGGGCGGGTGGGGAAAATTATAGGAGCTAGGTTAGATGAGGTGGCAAGTGGTTTACTAAAATCTGAAATTAATTCTCAGATTTTAGTATAATGGAGGGAATAATTTGAAAGGGGATTTCAAATTCCCAAAAGTAATTAAGGGGAACTTAATGGGTAATCAAGAGGGGCCCATATATGTGGCCGGCGGCTTAATGAGGGAGAGGGAGGGATTTTAAAATTAAAACTTGAACTTTAATTTCAATTTTAAGTGGGCTGGGAGGGTAATTTTGAAATCCAAATATGATTCCAAAAACGGTCAAGGCATTAATAGCATTTAATAGGGGAATTTCCTTGGGTGGCTGGCGGCATGCTGAGGAGGAGAGGGAATTTCATGATGTGGCTTCCAATTTGAATTTAGTGATGTGGCACAAGTAAATGAAAACTCCAATTTTAAATTGAATTAAAATTGGGAACCGTCATGAACACTTTCCAAATTTGGAATGTCAAATTAGGAAAGAATTTGAAATTCGAAATTCAAATTTCAAATTCGGACATGGGGTAGAGTGGGGTGGGCGAGAGAGGGGAAGTCGCCGGCAAGATGGTCGGTCGGGGACGTGGATGTGGCCGGCGGTGATCTTCCAAGGGTCGGCGGCAATTGGAGTTGGGAGGGAAATTCTTATGATGCGGTGGAGGAGAAGATGAAGGGAAATCACAAATGAGATGATAGAATACCTAACCACGAGCCGCGGACTCTTCCTACGACTGGTGGGCCTTGCGATTTGCTCCTCTTGAGCTCTCTTCCCTCTCAAGCACTCATGCTAGAAAAGTAGAAACAAAACATAACTTTTTCATTCAATGATTCATTAATCTCCAAACAATACATGAGACCACTATATATAGGTCTCAACTCATACAGAGAGAAAATACCAAATTGCCCTATGGGCTACAATGACAAAATAACTCCCCACAGGGGTAAAATGGAAAGACAGTAAATAAACAAGATAATAATAAAATACATCATGACATCTAAATCAAAAGTAGAGGCGCTGAATCGTGGCCGTCGATCTGCGGTTTCGCCGGCGATAAACATGTCGGTAGCGTCTGTCGATGTCCTCATCAAATACCTTCATTGGAAATTATAACCCTTCTAGGCAATCATGATTGGCGTGCCTTTAAATATTAATAACAAATAAATTGAACTAATACATAAAAGAAATCAATTACTAAAAAGAAAATATATAAACTACACATACATTGATACTCTATGTGATGCTTCCAACAAGAATAAAAATAGATTTTTGTCAAATCCTCTGAATAAACTCGAATATAGTATTTGATGTTCATCATGCAAATTTGTACATAAATGTGGAGCCTCCTGTTGAGTGACCCATGAATTATTACAATCAAATCTAAATTGCCAGTGAATAAAGTAAAGTGCCTTTGAAATCTACCATCACTAGTGTACGTGTACAATCTCATCATATAGAATTACCTTAGGATTTAGCTGCATATAAGTATTTACTAGAGGATCGGATGTGGATTTAGAAGAAATAGTTGGAAAAATAGTAGACACATTGAAATTAAATTTACACCCACACAATTTGAATTTTCTAATTTATTGGCATTATTGATAATGCATTGCATAATTTTAAATGATATTGTATTCCTTACATCAAACTTCTTAAAAGTTTCAGGTTGAGTCTTTTCTAGATTGAAACACAGCATGACCTTATGCTTAAATTTTAAAGGCTCATAATTGTCGTGAGTGTATCTAGTTTTCAATAGATATCCTCAAAATTCATGTAAATTCTTGCAAATGGCTTATATGATATGAGACTAGTAATGAAATTACTGCAAAACTAAAATAGAGTCCAAGGAATATTAACAACGGCTTATAATCAATTCCTTATAAATAAAATGCTAATGAGCTTGTAAGCATGCAAACAACATAATAATGATATACCTATATGGACGAAGAACCTCTTAAGGAAAAATAAATAAATGGTTTAAATGTAGCTTTTGTTGAATTATGTACTTAGAATTGACCAAATAGATAAAATTTTAAATTTTATGTTTGTTTTAGTGTGTTTGTTGTTAATAAAATTTCAAAAATATTATTAAAACATAACTTCCTCCATAATGTTGTCTTATGAATTAAAACATAACTTCCTCCATAATGTTGTCTTATGAATTTTAATATTGAGAAACCAAATAATCAAAGAAAGTCAATATCATTCTGATCATCTTTATAAGAATAATTTCATCTGGAAATTCATCCAAAGATGCATTTTTAGATTGTTCATTTGATTCATCAACTACATCAAATATGATTGGTTCATCTTTACTTAGTATTCATTAGAATGACTTAGTATTTATTAGAAATTCATGTTCAATTATGATTCTCAATTATATTGTAAGAGTCCAATTCTTACTTTGATCAATTATAGGTAGCGTAATGAACATAATTTATTGTAGATATAAATTCTGATTCATTTAAATCAACTATATATTCAAATTGTAGCTGTAAATCATATTCTGCATCTAATGCATACTCAATGAATATCATTTCTTTTATTGAATCAACTTCAACCATATATGATTCTTACGTAAATGTATTTTTTCATAAACTTTAAATAAGATGTTATTGAGTTTTCTTTATGAATCATCAAAGGTGAAACAATCCTAATGTAATACTCGTAACTTGCTTCAATGCTTGATCTAGCTAAGGTCATATATAGTGTTTTTGATGAATTTTAGCTTAGTTCCTTCCTAAACTATCATCTCAAACTTTTAATGGTGGTATCAATTCTAAATGCAAATCATGTGTAGCTACAAGACAGGAAAACATTCCATTCATACATTCTAAATTCTTTTTGATTAAAACTATGAAATTTATTATGCAATTTGTCCTGATTTTCACTGAATGTAAAGAATATGCTTCATGCTAGCCCGTGCTAAATTTATTGCATTTGAAATATTTCACCAATTCAATTAAGTGTATCTTATTAATTTTGTTTCATTAACTTCAACATTCTTATAATCAAATAAATGATTATGTTCAAACAAATCTTTCAAATCATGGATCCGTTTTGAAAAATTTTAAAATCGTACTCCAATAAAATCTAGGAATGTAGTTTTGAACTTAACAATTGTTGCAACTCATTTGTTTTGAATCATAATTTACTCAATCTTATTTAAATTACATTATTAGATAATTTTTTTTATTACTCCAATTAATATGTCCTACATTTAGTTGACATAAAGACGCAACATATGCTATGATATCAATTTATTGCAGGACAACTTAGTTTTATGGTTTCATAGTGTAATGAATATGATAGGTAATATACTTTCATGCAAATAGAAATTGAGGATTCATAGATTATTACTTTTGAGTCAAATAACAACTCACTTTTCTTCTATGCAAATGAGCATTGGTAGTTTTTTAAGCTCAATTGACGAGGAAATGATCATAGATGTTCGAGAATTGCAGCAAGAATTTGAAAATTAATAAAACTACTTGCAAAAAACTATTTTTTCCATAAAATCAGACTACGACAAATCAACTTTTGACCAAAATCAGTTAATTCCCAAATGCAGATCGGTGTTCACTGCTGTTTCTTATAAAATCTAATAAAGGTTTAACTCCCCTGGTTTTCCATGTCTATAAAGTTGTGAATAACATGCCAATTTACCTGTTATCGATGATTTTTGTATACTTCAATCAACTAATTTCATTTTATTCCACTTCCAGAGTTCAGCAAAGTGATGAAACTCCGATGTTCTGGGAGATGCTTCTCTACCTCTATGTCCTTTACTCACCTGACTGGCATTACAGGAGCACAATGCCTACTTTCTTGTTTATTTATGCTGCTGGTTTCGCGGTCGCCCATTCACTATTACGCGTGAACGCGCTTTTTATGGTTCAATACATTCTTGTCTTTCTTCTTTGCATTCCGAGGATGTATAAATACTACATACATTCCAAATTTGCTTCCGCAAAGAGAATTGCTAAGCTTTGCGTCATATCCTTATTCCTCGGCAGCCTATGTTGGTTCGTCGATCGAATCTTCTGTAAGAAACTCTCCAGTTGGTACATAAATCCGCAGGCACATGCCTTGTGGCATTTGTTCATGGGATTAAATTCATATTTTGCAAATACATTTCTAATGTTTTGTCGCGCCGAACAGCTCGGATGGAATCCTCGGGTTCATCATCTCTTCGGATTTTTCCCTTACGTGAAGATCGAAAAACCCAAGATCCAGTAGATAAGTACTTTTGTTTTCTAAACTTAGTTATTGTTCTTTGAAGTTTGAAGTGAATTTTTTTTTTTAAATTTTGTTAATGATATCATATTTTGTAGAAGAAATGTTTCAGGTGACTAATTTTTTAGTTTCTGTAAGAAAATAGCATCTTGCAGTGTATTATATTATACTATTTTCTAGTGATAGATTGGGTCAGCTGGAGTTGCATTGCATTTTCATTTCTTAAGTGCTGGAGTTTGTAGTGTAATATCACTGAGATAGGTGATACATTTATTAGACAATTCTCAGAAATTTTGAAGTTCTTTTGTGTCAACTTTGTGGAAAATATTGCAATTTTGAAGTTCTTTTGTACCACTATTTTTTTCATTGTTTTTAAGAAATTTTTGTATTAAAAAAGCACTGTAAAAATAGTAAGAAAATTGTCCTAATAAATCCTCAATTCCATCTCCTACAGGTCCTCAGGTTTGGTTCCTAGTACTTTTTATTTTTCTGCTACCATATATGCCGCCCCATTCTTTAAAAACCTGAAGCCTTACAATACCTGATCTTATGTTCTTTATGATCAGGCTATTTATTTTGATTCTGTTGATTTGTTTACTATCTTTTTTCATATTGTAAGAGCTTCTGTAGGGCTGAGAGAATTAATGATCTTTTTTTTTTTCTACCTGTAACTGCCTAATATTGTTGATGATTATAGAGATCCTTGAATATGGATTTCTTATATGATTTTGTTAGGGTTTTTATATATGTACAATGTTTTTGGTATAAAAATTGCTGCTTACACTAATTATACCCTATGCTCTTTTTTATAGTTCTAATATGTGTGCATTAGTTTAGTTCTAATATGTGTGCATTAGTTTTTAGTCTTTACTATAAAGATGGAAGCTTGTACTAGTTTTTTGATATTATGTGTGCATTAGCATGTTATTGGCATATTAAGGAGAAATTATTCTGTGCGAAGGCCGGATGCAGCTCTACGTTCGGAGGCGAATCAGGTGCAGCCACGCCAGTGGTACCAAGCCGCAGTACACAACGAAGGGGTGATGTGGTGCATTCTGGTTGGTCTCCGTACAACATTCAGCTTCCGCACAGAATAATTAATCCATATTAAGGGGTTATTTGGTTGCAAGATGTAGCCAAAAAGGTTTTTTGGTATCCTATTTTTGGCAGGATTTAAGTAAGATTCCATGTTGTTATAATATATGAGCATGCTTGTGAATTAACTTGAACTTGTAGAATGGAGCTCAAATTAGAGCTCGTACTCAGATTATCATTCAAGTTTAAGCTGAAGTTAGGAGTAATTTTAGATCTACTCGACTTATTTACACTCCTGCTTATCTCCTATGTCAAGACTGGAGGAGAAGCCACTAACGATCATTGACCGAGGAGACGAGAACATCATCAACACTTTATTTGCTAAACAATTGAAAAACACAACTTTCACTTGCACAACTGGAAAATTGTACATCTGTAGCTACAATTCTCTTCAATTAACTAAGTTGTGTGGTATTTTTATGTTTTAACACGCAATTTTACAAGGAAAAAATTTACATGCAGATATCTTGATCAATTTTGTGATGAGAATAGGTTTCAAAAATCTAAAATCTATTTTAAGATAAGTGAAATATATAAGTGATTAATATAACATTCAATTTCAAATAAATTTATAAGCTTTAAGATTGATCCTAATTTTTTTTTCATTGTGTTCTATTAAGAGTTAATTTTTTAGTTAAATCTAATAAAAAAATAATTTTTGGAATAGATATTAATCACGGATGGCTTTCTTACTGTTTCTTGAAGTTGATTTTTAGTATAAAAAAATAATTTTTGTCCTAAAAAGTTGCTTCAATAGGCAGTAAAAATAGTCATTCCAAAAGAAATCTAAACTGTAAAAGGGGCACTTACACACAGCTCATCTTGGCCTGTTGGTTGAGAGCTTAGGCTTCCAACTAAGAGGTCTAGGGTTCGAGTCTTTGTGTATGCGTTGTGTGTGTGAGCTTGCCTTAAATGGCCTAAATGTCCCAAAAAAAAAAGGGGGCACTTTAACAAATAGAGTTAATGAGACATGCTTTCTTGATGATCTAACCAAAATTCTAAAAACATTAAGAAATGGACCAATTACTTTACACATCAAATTAAAGTGGCCAAGCTATAGTAATTACATTGGAGAATTGAGCTCATTGTACTTCATTTTCATGGGGATTTACATACATATCCCATAATTTTAATATATTTACATATCTAAATAATGATTTTTTATGTTTATATATCTATATGAAAATATATTTTTGAGAATTTTTATAAGTAAATATTAGTGATATTTTTTATGTGGTTTAGAGTTATGAGTGTTAGTTAAATATAAATATTTAGGTGCTAGCTATATAAATGCATAAGAATTTTATAATTTGCATGTAAAACCTCTTTTTTTTTATTTGTGTTAGAATTGAGCTATGCAAGTATCACTAGCAAATTTGTTAGTATCTTAATGTTTAGTATAAGTAATCTCACATGTGTGAATAGGCAATCTTTACACAGTTTAATATGTTGAATTTGTATTGATAACTTGTTCAAATTTTGATAAATTTATAATGAATTAATGTTTTTATTTCTCAAAATTATTAATGAAATGATCACAATTAACATCTGATAAGAAGTTCTAAATCAGAGGCAATGTAACATACATTCAAACAATTTAACAAAGCATAAAAGCTGTTGATATTGCAATATTGTAATCATTGGCAAGTTAATAATTTATCAATAATGTGAATTTCACTTACACTAATCTCAAATTTTTAGGAAGCATTATGGAACTAATATTTCACTTTGATGGTAACAAAGTTTAGATTAAAAAAAAATTGATAGTGACTCGGTAATGCAATAAAGTGAAACTCATCAGTCTCGAAGAAAAAAAATAACAAAAGGTTCGAGAAGTTACTATTCAGCTTCGTTTATGACAACTTTCTTACTACTTTCAAAATGGTTTTTAAATATATAATTTTCAAGTTCAAAAAATTTGTATCAAAAAGCTGTTTTAGAAAGTACTAAAAAAGCTGTTTCAAATAAAGCCTTATGTATCATTTGAGACGTCTTAATTTTGTCTTTTTAGTTTCGAAATGGCAGAAATTGTTTTGTAAGTGCCACTTTTGCCGAAATGCTTTTTAGAGAACAATATTTTTATACTGTTTTCAAAAGCTTTCTTATATTAACTTCTCTGTCAAAAATTTTAAAACTAATTTTTAGAAAATGTATAGAATAACCAAACGAAGACTTAATCTTATTTCTTTAAAAATCATTCATGAAGCATTTAAGATTCATCTAATTATTGACTAACATTATCATGAAGATTTTTAAAATATTCATGATAATGTCAGCCAATAATTAGAATTTACTAATATAAAATGTGTTGGAATGAGAAATAAATATAGAATATTCAAAGAATACAATATTGTGGATAATGTATTGATTGGATCCAATCTTAGATAAATCCCTCTACAAAATTTAGAAATTGCAACATATGGTGTGGGGTCATTAAGATTATTAGAAAAATTGGCACTAATGCTTATTCTTGAATTATCACATCATATGTTTATTTGTCTTATTTTTAATGTAGAGCATTTAATATTATATAATGGATTTCATAAATAAATCTCCAAATTTATAAGAAGATTTTTTTTTGCAAGTTGATAAAATAATTATTTATAGGTGTCTGAGAGCATTCTTTCTTTGAGATGGATTATATTATCATAGATAAGGTGTGCCTGCTACGTGGCGCTATATTAGTGGTGACTGAACGTAGAGCTACGTCAGGTCACCGGACCAAATAAAAGTTCCAATAAATAACACGTATATCATATGTTTTTGTGAAATGGAAGGATAATTTGAAGGGGTAGTTACACAATGGGTCATCAAATCATCCATAGCAACACATTTGGAAGGCCTACTCTCTCTCTCTCTCTCTTCATTAATTTTAAGCTATTATTAACTTATGTAAATATTAATTTCCTAGAATGAAGAAAGGCCAGAAATAAATTTTGATATGAAATAATATTTTATTTTCAAAGGGAGGATTATTGGTAGTTGTCCACAACATTAAAGGAGTTTGCCTTCATATCTTGTCACCTTGGTGAGTGATAAGTTTATAAAATTTTCATAAAACCTCTTTGTTTTATTCTACAATATTTTTCTCTAATCCTCCCACCACAACTTCACGCCAATTTCCCAGCCTACTCACCCCTAATTTTTTCTTTTTTAATTTTCTAGCAATAAGTGATTTTTTTTTATAATTTTGTGGACAAATTTTCTAGTAGATTCTTTTTCCGCCGGAAATTGTTTTCCGATGCTCATTTTACTTGTAAATTTTTTTCCAATCGGAAATAAGTGATTTTACTATGGTGCTATAATATTTTAATATTTAGTACTGAAGAAAAGCAATTAAATATGTGATAATCTAAAAAAAAAAACTTTAATGATTATGAAATTAATATGAAGAAAACACTAAAAATATTAATTAGCACTTATCAGAAGGCAACACATCAATAATAATTCGCTCATTAGAAAAACCCTAGCTAGTCAGTAATGCAACACTTGCAAGGAATTTTGGTCTGCTTGGTGGGTGTTGAGATCATTGGAATCTTACTTAGCTTGCTAAAGTGAAAGACTAATTGGTGGAATCCTACCTGCGTTTCATGTTTATTTAATTAATGGCATCAGCAAGGAAGCAAAAGCAACCCACTCTCTTCTCTACCAAACTATTTGCTTTAGAGAATACTATTCTAGCCACCCTTTCCACACACCCACTCTCTCTATAGCTCTAAAGTTGAGTGCATAAGCATAAATTTGGCATCTCTCTCTCTCTCTCTCTCTCTCCTCTCTCTCTCCTCTCTCTCTCTCCTCTCTCTTATATATATATATAATATATATTATATATAATATAGTGGAGAGAGTAGAGAAGAGAATATTAAACATATCGATGAGATGAACATAACGACACCAAAACTGATACAATTCGACTCCAAATGAGCTTGAATCAAACACTTGAAATATAATGGAAATTTTTATAATGTTTAATTGCATAAAAAAATCTATAAATTTTGCATAATTATAGTCAAACCGAGTGTCTTAATAAGATGAATCTAACCAGACGAATTAAATACCAGTTGATTTAGGGGTTATTAAGGTACTTAAATATTAAATAATAATAATATATGACCATAGGAATTAGCTTTGGTCATTTGATGGAGTGTTTTAGAGATTTTGGAAAAATTTATCAAAATGCATACAATAAACTATAAAATAAAACTCCCATTATTCACT